ATCAGGAAGAATCGCATGGGAAGAGCAAACCCCACATGACTTGGAGTTGAAGGAGTCACTGACTTAACAGGCAGCATGGTGGAGGCAGAAGGACATTGCCACATGGCACGGAATGAGCAACCCTCAAACTTGCAAGAAGCAAGAGCAGGTTCGGGGGGATAATGTCTATTGCGCCATTGAATATACAAGGAATTTAGAAGACCCAAGCAGGACACCTATGCATTGGGATCAATACACGGCACCTATAAAGAAAGCTGACAACCTAGGCCACGGAACGGGAGACATCTCCCGTCACGCAGGGTGCAGTCGCACTTCCACATATCTTCAGTATCATCTATTGATACTGGTAATGGCTTAAAAGGGCCACCACTTACGGGCTATTCATGCCCGTGCCACCTTTTGGGTGGCTTAATCTTCATCAATCAATCAATCCTAGGCCACGGAGCCGTCCTTCCGCCGAGGACAGAAGGCCGTCCTCGGCCCGCAGAGAAGTGCGCAAACCACCAGTGAGACCCGACATCTAAAGTTGCACCCAACCCGAGCGAAGACAGGACATTCCTAAGACACCTACCTGATTTATCCTGGGCAAAGACCACAAGTGAGGAGGACCTCTAAGGGAGTGACCCTTGGCATTGCAAGAGCAGCACTAGGAAAAAACACAGGGAGAGGAATCCTGAACACATGCAGCTAGCACTCCGAGAACTAGACTCACATTACACTGCAGTGTATGCGAGCCACAATACAATGCCACAAGGGCAAACACCACTTAGCTGAATAATAAAACTGCCAGAGCCAGCACGGAAGAGGCGACCTGGTACACACTACATCAACACTAGAACTGAGGGTGGCGATGCCTGCTAGTGGTGGGTTACCCTCTCCCAAATGAGTGGGGAAGATGGGGCAAACAAGCTAGTGCTAGTTCCGAAAGAATTCAATTGGTTGTTTACATAGTTGGGAAGGGGTCCGTCTAATTACCCAAAGCTACTCAAAGCTACACAAAGCTTCCTAGCATTACGTTAGTAATGAATAAATATTATATATTTATTCATTATAATGTTGGTGCTGAATGTAGAACATAAAAAACAAATTTTTACTCCAAAAAAGTATCATTTTATAATGAAATTAGACGAAAATAAGAAGCTGGTGACGCCCAAGCGACAATTTTTACTGGCATATGAGCCTCCTGTACCTACCTAATCTATCCAAACCTAATTTAATATAACCTCTAGGCAAAAATATATCTTTAATAAGTCGCTGCACAACATTGTCGCTTGGATAGTCGACTTCCTATGGTTTCCCATTCCACTTAATTGGGGCTAATTTTGTTATAAATATATATTATTTCAGAGTAAAAATACGTTTTTTCATGTTCTACCTTCAACACCAACAATATAGTGAGTAAATATATCATATTTACTCACTATAAATATATCATATTCTTAAATGGAGCATCATTACTTACGTGATGCTAGGAAGCTTTGGGTAATTAGATGGACCGTTGGGAAGTTCTTTCGGCAGGTTTTGAAGCTTCAGTTTTTATTGAAGCCTCAATAAAACGGCGGTTTGTTTTGACTCCCTGACTTTCTGGTTGTTTTCCCGGTGAAGTAGCACATTTTAATGTCACCGCTCCCTGCACCTGTGAAGGATCCAGGTTCTGGCACTGGTCCTTGGTAGGTCTACAGAACTCCAAGGCTGGTGCGACCTAGTAGATGGTACCATGTCAGTATAGTAGCATCAGGGATCTACAAAGGTCTCTCCACAGAAACCATGAATATTCCATTGAAAGATAGACAAGTGAAGAGTAGAAATAAAATAAAAATAAAAATCTAGGGCAGAGAAAGGACTTGGGGAAACTAAGAGAGTTCAGTGAAATCTGGGCTGGGGGCATAGGTAAATCCAGCAATGGTCACTGTGTCAAGAGGGTGATGCTAAGGGGCACTGGTGAGCTGACAAGGCTAGGTGAGGAAGGTGGTGCTGGGGAGGGGAAGTCGAAGGAGTGGGGCAGAGGAGATAGAAAGATAGACAAGTGAAGAGTAGAAATAAAATAAAAATAAAAATCTAGGGCAGAGAAAGGACTTGGGGAAACTAAGAGAGTTCAGTGAAATCTGGGCTGGGGGCATAGGTAAATCCAGCAATGGTCACTGTGTCAAGAGGGTGATGCTAAGGGGCATTGGTGAGCTGACAAGGCTAGGTGAGGAAGGTGGTGCTGGGGAGGGGAAGTCGAAGGAGTGGGGCAGAGGAAGGACAGAAACGGCAGTGTTTATTAGAGAAGAGGCATCATCAGAAGTATAAACAACGGTTATGGAAAGTTCCGTAAGTCAGTTGATTCTTCTATAGAGATGGGTGTGAAGTAGAAACAAGGATGGAGAAGGAAGCTAGGGAGATAGATTTAGACCTTACTTGCTGGGGAGGAAGGAGAAAAGCAGGTTTACATTTCTGAGACACATGCATGCCAGTAGCAATGTATTGTACAACAAATTCTAGAGTCGTAGGTGGGGAGGATAAACGAGAGCTGATGATACGAAGATGGTTGGGAAGAGGTTGATAATGGATATAGACTTGGACGAACAATTACCTTGGAGGACTGAAGAAGATGGGGCCAAAAGTCGGTCACATAGAAGATTAAGAGAGGTGACGAAGAAACACAAGTACAGTGAGTAGAAGACTGAGAGGGGAGAATGGAAATGCCTGTTGGTGATGAGGAACACGTTCGGCCTCAGACCAGTGGAGCAGAAGAAAGGGAGCTGGTAAAGGTGTCAGGGTTTAAGACATGGAAATGGCTGTAGAGCTGAGAAAGAGACAATAAGGACAGGGAAGAGCAGTGTGATGCACTACATGAGCGTAAGTCATGTTAGGGAATAAAAAGTTCAAACGGCAGACATGGTGCCTTGCCTTGGGAAAGATATGCTGGTGCGATGTTTTGTTGATTGCTTGTTCAAATTTATATTGCATGCATGAGTGGGAAGAGGCAGGGTGGGCATCATCACAGATGATTCAGTGAGTTTGTTGATAAGAATGCCCATGGTCACCACAAAAGGGTCAAAAGGACATCTCGCTACTGCACTTTGAGGAATAATGTTCATATTTCCAGCACCTAGTGCAAAGGGATGGAGAGGGGATGTATTCCTAAATGGAGCATCTGGCACCAGCAAGAATTACAGAAGACTGAAGTCTGAAGAAGACTGAAGGGGTTGACAATAACAGCCACGAGGGAGTCGAGTGAACGTGTCAACCTGGAAGAGAATAATTTTGGGTCTCAAGGATATACCTAATATCCTCATGGATATTATGTTCCCTGTCCCCAGTCGCAACAGTGTGCAAAAATGACTGCTGCTACGGGCACAGGACATTTTAATTGGACATTTTTGGAGACCTGAACCGGAGTCTCGCCAATGCAGGACAAAGCTGCCAGGTGATTGCCTCCATCAAAATATTTAACATCAAAATATTTAGGCCATACAGATCATGTTATGTAGTAGTGGTTGAGGGAACTATGCGTGTTCGAGTGTGATTATGGTGCCATGGTCCTTCATTAAGATTGAGAGTAAAAGGCGCAGTTGTAATAATGAAAGATGCCACTCCAGGTGACGAAGTGGTCACCAATGGAGGCCTAGGGTTCGACCCTGCAGAGGAAGTGGAAAAGAAATGGAGGTCAGTTAAGTTAAGATGAAGTCTAGTCAGAGCTTAACCTAGCCAGGGTTATGAAACATGATTTTTCATCACGGTTCTATTCACAGGCCTGATTGCTTGCCCCACTAGCCCACGTTTGAGAAACCATTTCAGTTACAATGCATAATTTTTTCAAAGTTTGGGCCCCCGGAGCCAATGAATACCACCTACCAGGGCAGCAAGGTAACCCAAATGCTGGCATGTGCAGGAAAGGGTGACAGCCTTTTTAACAGGGTAATCCTACTGCATCATACTTTCTCTCAGACCAGTGTAAATACCTCTTTCTATCCATGCCCAGACTAGACACAAGCAACCTCAAATGGCGACCCACTATGACAAGGAGATATCTTTGAGGTGGTCTGGTTTGAAAAGTTTGACAAGGCTGATTAATTTAGTCAGTAACTTCATTATCAAAGCACAGTATTGCACATTGTAGAAAATTAAGTGAGAAGCTCTTCTTTATTAAAGTTTAATTTGTCAAAAGTATGAGGAAACCTGAATGTTATTTTTTAACTTATGTAGCAATAAATGCATCTTTCCTTTATCAAATATTTAATTATGAAATAACAGCTACCAGTATCTGTGTATGGCAGCTTACCATCCTGAATGTTGAGTATATCACATGAAACTCCAAATGAAATCCTTTGGAAAAAAAATAAATAAATAAAAATTATATATACAATATATATGTATGATCCAGTGGTCGAGACATGAATTTGACGTGACAGTAAATTTATTATAATAACAGTTTTCATAAAATTGCATATACAAGAATATACATAATTCCATAAATATATATAAAAAAGTGTAATGCATGAATTCACGATTCATTTCTTTCACAAGACACTGGCAAAAATATGTAAGCTCTATTTGTGTATAATGAGTAGGAAGTTGGAAAAAAAGAAAGGAAAGTCCTTGATCCATACACTGCTTTTAACTTGAATATTCTGAGTACTCTGTGAAAGGCAACTTAACTATCCAAACATCCCTATACATGTAAGGTTTAATTAGCATAGACTTCAAAGGACTTTTAAGAGCAAAATTAATTGAATGTGTATATTACAAAGTAATAGATATAAAAATCATGCACACTAAATATCAATCACATTGTTTTTAGGCATATGACATTTCTATAGGCAAATAAAAATATACAGGACATTTAATCTATTACATTCAACCATAAATTCATTATAGTTTGTACTGTATTCAATATGAGCAGATAATATGATTTGTCCCATAAAAAATTATGCAAAAGCATAGTTTGTCATAGAAAGTCAGGTTTATTAATTTAAAATATATGCAGGTCATGTAGGATAAAGCAAGATGAGAAGTACAAACATCTCTTTATTTCACATTTATGAATCATTGGCCAGTATTCCGAGTAGAAGAATTTTATTTACAAAATGTATACTTTTTATACATTACAGGATCACTCTAAAACAGAAAAAAAATAAAATAATCTGCTGCTGCCCATACTTGTGAAAATTAAATAAAATTTGTATTGTAAACTTAGACTTGTGTTCATTTTTTTCCCACTGTGATATATACTGATACAATGCCACTAAAAGTTATGATAACAATTTTGAACCTGTGTAAACAAAATATATATAGAAAGGCAATGACACAAACAGCGGAAATCCGTCTAGTCCTTCACACGGTTAAGAGAATTTTAACAATATAAGTGGCATTTATTCTACAGATACCATCCCGCTTTCCGACCTTCACCTCTTCGAACAGTTCGACCACAGTACTGTATTTGATTTCAGTCCGACACCCTCTCCCTAACTCTGCATAATGAGAGGTAGCTTTACCCAGATGCACCATTGAAGGTGCCACTAACTGAACATTTGTTTTTTGTAGTAGGCACACAGCTATCGAAACCTTCCTTGTTAGTCATTAATATTGTATTTCATTGAAAATTATCATTATTAATATCCTGCTACCATGGCAGCTCAAAATATAGAAAATGTGTCAATGAAGGTTTCTACTAGCAGCAAATGATGAGGAAACATTCTGTGATGAATGTTGAGCAAAATTATGAGCTAATTAAGAAAATGGTAATGCATTTCTAAATTATGTGCATGCATTACAGTGCCTTTTTTTTATATTTTGAGGAGCTAACCTAACCAAAAAGCAATTTGATGGATGACTAAGCCACTTTAAGAGGTGATAAGAAATCTAGCCTGTAAAAGCAGGTAGAGAAGTAGTAGTCTGGTGATAAACTACAGCTAACTTCTCTCCTTAAAAGACCAACACCTAAATCCTCAGTGAGACCTGTAGCCTACCTGATACCTGGTTGATGGGGTTCTGAGAGTTCTTCTACTCCCCCAAGTTGACCGACTTGTGAGAGTTTGGTCCACCAGGCTGTTGCTTGGAGCAGCCCGCAGGCCACCCTTGCAACTCTTAATTATAGTAAGATAGCCAGAGATCAATGTTTACAACTTAAAGCCATCAAATTCCCTGCCAAGCTGTGAGATGTTTTACAAGTTATGTCTTAAAACGAAGGTGCAGAATCAGCTAGATCTTGCTACAAAAAAGTAATTACAGTGGTGCCTTGATTAAGGAATTTAATCCGTTCCGGCACCAAGCTCGTCATGTGAAACGCTCATCTTCCGAAACAACAACACTGTTGTCGGAGGTGTCCGAGAACCAGCGGGAATGCTAGGAAGCACCATGTGGTTTACTTGTTAATCGAGTGAAAGCTTGTCAATTGAGACAAATTTTCTGCGAGTGGCTCACTTGTCACTCGAAATGCTCGTAACTAGAGTCGCTCGTCACTCAATGTTCCACGGTACTTAAAATTGTCAATGATGTCTCCTGTCTTTAAGAATGTATTTATGAATTCCATAGAAATGTAAAAATCAATGTTGACTAAACTGTATCGTCTATGTATTGAGCATCATGTCATAAATGGCTTTGCCCGTTTGTATTGTACACTGAGACAGTTAAGCAAGTCCCAGCTGTGTTTGGGTACAAGTGACAGGATGAACAACCCAGCGGGTTTTCTTCCTATTGGGGGAGTGTTGTACATGCTGCTATGGCGGTATGTCCACTCCCAGGATGAGTGGCACTGCCCAATAAACTCACCCCTCGAGGCAAAATTAATAAAAAAAAAAATTTAATTGCAATGATTAGACATACTGTACTGTATGCTATTATTATGATTTTCTTGTGCAAATGAAAAATGCATTTAACCTTTGTTTAAACTAAATAAATTGTAAATGTACAATCATTGCTGAATAGTTTTGATTTAATTTGATGTGATTGAATGAGTAATCTTGTAAAAGTTGCCTAACTCCAGAGAGTGGATGCTAGAAGTATCCATTAGACCATGTTTTGTCAAACTAGCTAGCTCACCTGGATACCACCCCCTCCCCCCCATAAAAAAAAAAACTATAGATCACCAGTAACCTTAACACCCACCCAGAAATTAATTCACTCTTTAAAAGATCTAAACAGGTGCTCGGATTGTGATGCTTTCTTTGGTTTTAGTGACTGTATTATGAAATATTTTCTAACATAAAACTAATATTTTGTAGGGCCAGAAGGGTACGTTCGCAAATTCATATATGTCTGATTTTTCTACTGTGTTCGGTCCCAAAATTGTCAGAAAGCGGGATGGCCAGAGAAAAAACTAGAAACATTCAGCCCATAGCATCATGTTCTAGAGAATAAATAGAATAATAAAAGGTTTGTGTAACTAGACAAATTATTTTATAGCTGATAAATCATAGAAAATGCTCATCTTAAAATTGACATTTGAACCAAGCATTCTACAACATTCACCCAAAAGAAAATCTGCTCATGCAGAACTGTACAAAGATTTCTGACAATCTCTTATAGAGCTATCCTGAGACTCCTTGGTTCCATCTTTTAAAAAAGAAGAAATCATCAAGCATACCATACAATTTCATAATAAATATGTATAAACACTTTTCATACAACACTCAAAACCTATTTGACTCACTTTACCAATATACTTTAATAAATTCTATTTTTGTGTTCGAAATCTAACTGGCCACGTATCCATATACAAGACGGAAGCCTTCTTACGAGGTGAGGCTCTACGATCACATGCAGCCAGGGCAGCAAGTTTCTGAGTTGTGGTTTGTTCAAGAAAACTGAAGTCATCATGTTTCTTCCAGTGCCCTTGCTTCTTTGGTTCAAGATCCTCACACCCAATAGCACTATCATTATCATCTGATGTGTGAGAAGGTACAGACTTTTTCTTCTTTTGAGTCTTGGGCCAGCCAGTCAAGTTCTTCCTACGTTTTTTACCACTACGGCAACGTTTGGGTTCACTGACAACTGAGCCATCAATAGTTTCTGAGTCACATAAGGACACACACTCTGAACTCGCTTCGGTATTATCGTCAGCACTAGAAAATTCGTCACACGAAGCTCGATCGGTACACACACAGAAACACGCGTCCTCAATAACCTCGGAGGCTTCCCGGGCTAGTATATTTTCTGGCGTTAAATAATCTTTCACCTCATCACAAAGCCCAGCAATAAAAAAAGGGTCTACCTCATGAGCAAGTGGACTCTCAAATAACTTCAGCTCTTTAGCAATACTTGGTCCTTTATCAAACTTGGAACCTGTTGTTAATCTCTTCTTTTTGCCCCGCTTTTTAGGGGGCGTCTTTTTTAAATCTGGTTCTTCACTATCCTTTAATTTATCAATATTAGGACTACACACTGATTTCTCTTCATAACTTGTCTCTGATTTCAAAACATGCTCAATGTGCAATGCAAGAATAGCAAGTTCTTCTGTCGATTCAAAAGATTCAGGAGGTTGCATTCTCATGAATTCAGCTCCAGGTGTACTCGTACCATCTGATGAGACTTCATCCACTTTCACTGGAATAGGCTTTGTTACTTTTGAACCTTTCACCTTTTTAGTTGGAATGATATCTGAGAAGAGAGCAAGGGTTGATGCATGGCATCTAGGAGATTTCCTTACTAGATCTGCCAAGTCATTTTTTTTCTTGGATAAAAGTCCTTTTTTGTAGCAAAGAAAGTCTCGAATATACTCCTTTGGCATTTCATAAGGTAATACAAACTTCAAAGGCTCTTCTTCATAAACAAATTCATTTACATCATTGCCATCTATTAATCTCTGGTAGGTCTGATACCAGCACTCTTGATCAGGAATACCTTCAAATGAGAAATATAATTCCTGTAATTCATTTTCAGATCCATCTCTCATTTCCATACTTCTTTCTGTACCTCCTGTAAAGTTCCCATCACTAGTTGAGTGAGGGTTAGAATTCTCCGATTGATTTTTAATTTGCTCTTCTGTAACAAAATTTAACATTTCTTCTTCATTAACTTTCCTCTTATCCACCTCTGGTCCCTTCTTTTCTTCCGCAGTGTTCTTTCTTCTGTCATCTTCTGTGGCCTTCTTCTTACATTGATCAGTAGCCTTTCTTTTGTCTTCCTCAGACACTTTTTTCTTAGCTTCCTCTAAGTTTTTTCTTTTGCTTTCTTCTGGGCCTTTTCTTTTATCTTCAGAAACCGGTCTTTTGTCCCTTTCAGACATTTTTTTCTTCTCTTCAGAAACTTTTCTTTTGTCCTCTTCAGACAATTTTCTCTTCTCCTCTTCAGAAAATTTTCTTCTGTCCTCTTCAGACACTTTTCGTTTTTCCTCTTCTGAGAACTTTCTTTTCTCTTCCTCTAAAACCTTTCTCTTCACCTCTTCAGTGATTTTTCTCTTTTCCTCTTCGGAGACTTTTCTCTTCTCTTCAGAGAGTTTTCTCCTCTCCTCTTCTGGGACCTTTTTCTTCTCCTCTTCGGAGACTTTTTTCTTCTCCTCTTCAGAGACTTTTCTCTTATCGTCTTCAGATATTTTCCTTTTGTGCTCTTCTGAGCTCTTTCTTTTATCCTCAGAAACTCTTCGTCTCTCCCTTTCCTTATCTTTCACTTCAAATTTTTCAGAATGCCTTGTATCAGATTTTGCTGTATTCCTTGTTTCAGCTTTTTCCACACACTTCTCTTCTTCCTTCTCCTCTAAATCAGGTTCTTCTGGTATACCACCTGTACTACGAGTCACTCTTCTCCTTCTTTCACACGTGAAACGTTTCTTGGTACTTGATATATCCTTAAGTTTTGATTCTTCTTTTTTGTCCAATTCTTTTCCTTCACATTCGTCCACCTTTATAAATTTTTCTTTGTCTCCTAATGAGGTGGACCGCCTGAGCCTTTCTGCAGTTTCCTGGAAGTGGTAGTACTCCCTATTGTCTCTTAGAAATCTCTCGGCATCTGACAATCTTTTTCGTCCAGATTTTCCACTGCTAGATGCCTCAATTAAATGTTTGTTTCCTCCTTTGACCTTGCACCGAGTTTGTGAACTACAACTACTCCCAATACAATTAGTCTGTGGTATAGTAGTGCTCACTGGGAAGCCAAAGAAATTTTCATCATCATCATCATCCTCATCATCATTTAACATTGTTAGATCATACCGAGTTTTTCTATTTCTACTTCCCACTTGTCGCCCTCTTCTTTTACTTAAACACGGATCATCTTTGATTCTTTTTGCACAAGATTTACAATCATCATCGTCAGTAGTTCTTGAATGTTTCCCTTTTCCCATACCCCGGCCCCTTGGTGGATTTTCTGTCCCCTCAGATTCATCAGAACATTCACTTCTCGAGTCGTGATTTTCAGTACCTTCATCACTTTCATCACTCTCACTATCAGAGTCAAGTTTATTTTTATTTCTCATTATTTCCTCTTTTTCATTATAATACTGTTCAGTTTCAGAAATAAGTAACCAATCAGCAGTTTTTCGGCGAATTTTTGCCTTTTTACTTTCAAATTTCTTCCTATCAGCAGGCGAGATTTCAAGTAAAAGACTAAAATCTACCTTCTCACCATTGTGTTCAATATTACCATTACTTCTAGATGCTGAGCTATTATCAGATTCGTCACTATTAACACGACTGATCCTACGCCCCTTCACTTTATGAGTTCCATTAACCAGTTCAGAACTCACATCACCATTGTACTTGGCACTTACATGGGTGGCAGCCTCATCGAGCAGAGGCTCACCATTCTTTGGCTTTCCTCGTTTCGCAGTTTTATCCACCATATCGAAATATATGGACTCATCTGCAACACTACGAGAGTCTGATACTTCAGACTCTGACTTTTCGGAGCGACAGCTGCTTTTACGAGTTCTAGTACATCTTTTCGCTTTAGACAGTGGCTCTGATTTAATTTCAACAGATTCAAAATCTGCACTATTTATCCTTTTTGATGCACGACTGCTCCTCTTATGGCAAAAGGAGTCAAGTTTAGCATCTACTTCTTGAATCAATCTCACCATTTCCCTGTTTATTTCAGTGGCCACAGGCAGACTAGCTTGAGGATGAGCAGAAGTTGGACCTGAGGTGAGATCTCCTAATGTTAAGGATTCAGATATTTTGGACGTTGGAGTTGATGGTTCAATAAAGACTGCTTCTCTTGCAGTTTCTTCAGCAGCAACAACTGGTTTGACTTCAACTTCTGGAAGAGCAGATTCAGTCTTAATAAACTCTGGAAGAATGCCTTCATTCAGAGTTGCATCAAGATCTGTAGGTTCACTTATTTCCGCCTCAGGACTGGTAGCCTCTGTTACTTTATTCTGAAGAATGGAAGATTCATTTACTGTTACCTCCAGAAAAGCACTTTCAACTAGTCTGTCATGAGGAATATCACATTCATTTACCTTATCTTGAGAACAAACAGCTTCATTCCTTTTGGCTTTAATAAGAATGGAGTCTGTTAGCTTATTAGAAGGATCAATTGCATCATTTGGCAAAATTTCAGTAACAGAAGTAACTGTTAATTTATTCTGAAAAATGGCAGCTTCGGTTATTTTATCCTGAGGAACTGCAGCTTCATTCACTGTCAATTCAGGAACTGTAGCTTCATTCAATGGTAACTCTGGAACAGTGGCTTCATTAACCAATACTTCAGGAATAGCAGCCTCAACAACAGCTTCAGAAGCAGTAGCTTCAGCAATAGATGCTTCAGGAACTGTAGCTTCAGCAGCAGACACCTCAGGAACAACAGCTGTCACTGTCACCTGAGGAACAGTAGCTTCAAGATCTGAAGCCTTGGTTGCAATTATTTCGGGCACTAGCGCTTCAGGTACAAGAGCTGCAGGCAGAGAACCTTTGAGATGGACTGTAGCACCCACATCACATCGAGTTTGTAATATGTGGTGCTCAGGTTGAGGCTGTGTAGCGGGACACAGCGGTGCTGAAAACCGAGGAGTGCAGTGCCTGCTGGATGGAATTTCAGCTAGGTGACGACTCTTACGGAGGATACGGACGTTCTTCCGAGTGCCACCTGGGAAGACACAGTTACTTCTGGTTGTTACGTCCTCATCCTTGAGTTCTTCCTGGACCACAAGTGTTGGACCAGAATGAATGGTCTCTCCAATCTAAGGATAACAAAAAATTAATCTTAAAATACAATAATGGCCAGAAGATATACAAAAGTAATTTTGCAGATAAAAATGCTTAACAACTTTGATTTGATAGTAAGAGATTTTACAAACCAGCTAATAAATGTAATTTGTTTGGATTAAAACATTAAAAGCTACTGTATTTCAATTTATATTATAAGTAACGTGTGTTAAAGATTTAAAACATGTAACTGATTATGGTAAGAAGTGAAGGAGTTCTAGGATCTATTTTCCCCTATTAGGAGAAAAAAAGCAACAACCATTGAATGTTATGAAATGTACTTTTCTGGTGGGCCTTCAGCAACTCCCCAGAATTTACTGGGGACCAGGGCAGGAATCTGGCTTTCTCTATGAGAAGGAAGCTTGTGAATCAGTTATACTCAAAACCAAGAAACCCCATTGGCAAAGTTAGGGAAAACAAGCCACTGTTAAAAAAAATTACCTGTGGCAATACGGCAACCAGATGGGCAACCCAGTTCACCTGAACCAGGACAGCAACCAACCTCACCCATGAACAGCCAATAATGAACCCCAAACATGCCACAGTAAAAAAGGGATCAGGCCTACCAGAAAATGGTATTTCACAACACTCGATGCTTGATTTCTGGAAGGCATCCTCAGTAGTTCCGTGAAGCAAACCTCCAATGATGACTTGGCAAAGGAGGAAGGCTTATATAAAGAGAGAATATAAGATTAATAGTAACAGTAAAGGCATACAGGGCTTACTCATGGGAGATGAGGGAAGGGGAGAAAGAGGGGCCATGGATAGAGAAGAAACAAATGAGCCACCACAAAGGAACAGAATAGTTAAAGAACATCCAAGGAGGAGCAAATTAAAAATTGAATGGATTTCCCCACCATCCTCCACCCATTAAAGGCCTATGTAATTCAGCAGCCAGCCACCGAGTTACTGTGGCGCGACCTCTGCATCTACTCCGTTGGCAGTCTTTTGTTTTGGTTTACTAGTAACCATCAAAGCCCTTGCCCTCATTCTCCATTTTATATCTATTTACCTGAGGGCAACTAACAAATTAGTTGTAATATGTGGCCTCGACAAGGACATGAAGCCAGCAGCTTGTCAAACGTCACCCCATTTGTCCTGAAGATTTTATCAAGCTGGATTTTAAAATTCAACAGAATTTTGGCATTTACGGCTTTGGGGGGGGGGGGGGGTAGGCAGTTCCATAGCTTTATGACCCCCGTCGGTGAAAAAGCATCGCCTGTTTCCAGTCCTACATTGTGGCTTCTTGTACTTGAAACCATTGCTCATTGTTTATTTTACATTTGACCTTTTGAAGATGAAGTCTGGATCAACATCCTCCAAATTGTGCTGTATTTTTTAAGTTTTGATGAGAGATATCCTGTCATGTCTGGTTTGCAATGTTGTTACCTCTGTGACCCTCAACCTTTCCTGGTATGAGAGTTGATTTAGTTCTGGAATGATTTTTGTTGCCCAGGTTAAACTTTCTCCATAGAAGCTACATTTCTGAAAATGAGGTCTCCATGCTTGAATATATATATTACATCCTGCCATTATGGCACCAGGAAATGCAGGAAAACTGTTGTTCAGGACAACAAGTGGTGAAGCCAAAAGAAAATATGTGATGAATTTTGAACAAAAAGTTCAACTTATAAAGAAAGGTAAATCTGGCATTCTAAGAGTGTCATGTGTGATAGATACACATTTAGCAAATGACTTTATATTAAAGGCTAAAAATAAGATCTTTTTCAAGTTATATAGAAGTGAGCAAGATGTAGCAATGCACAAATGTACTGTACCTAGTAATGCTAGGATTAAGTGTTGACAAGGCTGCTTGGGAGTGGTACAAGCAGACACAAGACGAATCAAACACACCAGTGCCAGGAAGGCCGATTCAGGAAAAGGCCAAACATTTTCACCAGCAAATTAAGCTTTGTGATAATTATGTGTACAGTGATGGATGGCCAAGGGGCTTTTAGGTTTGTCGTGGTTAGGTTAGGCATGTGAAATTACAAGGTGAAAAGCAATCTGCTGATACAAAATGCACAGAAGAATTGTGTGTGCAAACTTGAAATCATGCAGGACAATTCTTTATCTCCTGAGCAAATTTATAATGCCGATGAAACAAGTTTGTACTGGTGTATGTTCAACAGTTACATACAGTATATGCTTATCAGGGCGAAAGTGATGGTTCAGCTGGGTTGAAGGCAAATAAAGAAATTAACAAAACCATACTCACCTAGACATCATTCCAAGATCATATGTGGAGAAACATCTGGACCCTTGGAGAGTACCCATATATTAAGTAATATTTATTGTCATTACCGATACGATATCCTGTAGCGTTTGTTTAAAGTATCTAGTAAGCTATAATGAATTGTTATGTACTTTTGAGCATCAAATTTGTCATGGCTGGGATAATTCAACCAAACCCAATCCAATCACAGTTGGAATCGAAATGATCTGATTGGAGGATGTCAAGTGTATTGCAAATTTTCCTAAATGTCTTGTACTTTATACTCTCCCACGACTGATCCCTCACTTCCTACTCGGGTAATCATGTTTTCCCTCAATTACTACTCTCTTTCTTTGGTTTATGCAGCTCACTGTTTTTAGTCTGAGGCTTCTCCTGTATGTATACTGACCACTTTGCCTAGGAATTGCAATCATTCCAATGTATTTGACGATGAACACATCAAGCCAAAGAGAAAACATGCATGTTAAGCTCATAATAAAATGAAGGAAAGTTAATACATTCAAATGGCCCCAGAAGTATGAACAAATTCTAAGAATGGCCAGCACTTTGCTTGAAATTGGAGGGTTTGCCCATGACTCGTGGACTGGAGCACTACTGGTAGAACAATTCACAGAAACATCAGCAAAATGCGCGCCTTTAGATCGCGAACAACTTGATACCAAAATGAAAGATGTAACACGAAAAGTGATGTCAGAACACTGGAAAGATATAAATAATTTTGTGATGATGTGCATCCAAAATTTAAAATACTTGTTAAAATTCCATTTATTGCTCTATTATTATGAGACTAGTATTAAAATACGCGCCTTTATATTGTGAACAATTTGATACCAAAATGAAAGACATAACACGAAATTGATGTTATCAAACTGAACGAGTATATACATTACGTACACACAGAGTATACACATTACACAACCTGATGGTCGAGAGGTGGGACCAAAGAGCCAGAGCTCAACCCCCGCAAGCACAATTAGGTGAGTACATTAGGTTGCGGGTGTGCCAATTGGTGCTCATTCACAGGTAACTTTAGGCTTTGCTAAGTAAGGGGAGTCACGCCGGGCTTTTGGACAATATACTGTATGCATATACACCGGAAGGGAATTTAATTGCGAACACAAGGATACCAAAACGAACGATGTAGAACGAGAATTAAGGTGAGAAAACTGAAATGAGTATACACATTTTACTGATTTTGTGCATTCACAGGTAACTTTTGCAGACTTTAGGCTTTGTTGTGGGGCGTCACGCCGGGCTTTTGGACCTTATATGCATATATATACTGTACCTGCAGGGAATTCTATTGCGAACACAATGATACCAAAACGAACGACGTAGCACGAGAATTAAGGTTAGAAAACTGAAACGAGTATACACATTTCGGTGTTGCCGCTCACTCGCTGGGGGAATGATGTCAAAGTTTGCGGTGTGCATGCCCGGGGCGCGAAAGTGTTAAGATAGCTTCAGGCAACCACTAGGAAGCTTCCCAAGAAAAACAAGAGAGGCAGAATTAAGGAAGAGGGACAAGGGGAAATTTTTGTGGAGTGGGCTGAGATACAGGAGAAAGAAGTGGGGCAGACTAAGAGGTAGTAGGAGGGAAGTGGGGAAGGATAGATGAGAGAAGGGAGAGGTGAGAAGGGTGGGAGAGACATAAGGAAGAACAGAGGAAAAATGGGAGGGCAATAAGATGGGTGAGGAAGAAATGGGAAGGAAAGAGGACAGGCAAAATCTTCAACAACCTAATAATTGCTTGTTGTATTTACCTGAAGAGGTGAGGCCTTCCATGTGTGCATATATGAAAAAATGTGTAATAAATGTGACAAATTATTATGATCCTGCAAAAGCATTATGCATACAAACACACTACATTTTGGCCATCAAGTGAATGGAGAAGCTACACTATCAGATATTGCAAAATTCTACATAATAGCTGTAAATGGCTCAAGTTCTGAGGCGTTGTACAATACCTTGTAACAGTTGTATAACAAACCTTACTTTAACAATCATATACTTAAGCAGATTTCCTTAGCAATACAAATAATGTCCACTAATTGAAAACTATCCCAAAATCTTACTACCATTACTGCTTACATAAAACATTGAGATGATCAAACAAAAAAGTAGCAATTAAATTCCTCTAATTCGACTATAAACTAATGACAAAGCTGTAAGCACATGCAGTATGTACACATTAAATATAAACAAATAACTGCATGACTATATGTCGAGTCAAGTCAATTTTTATCTTTATCCACATGCACACTACACCACTCACTCACTCGTGTGTGTGCCACCACTTACTCTGTGATGCCTCTAACACCACCACGACCCATTCTGTGCCGCTACCACCACCACTACTTACACTGAAGGACTGCTAAAAAGTGAAAACAAAGGATTGTCTGCCAGCCAGGATGACTCCGGAACCTCATAATGCCTCAAACAAGGAGAAGAACTGAACGCAAAAGATGCCAGAGGCAACAACAAGGTAAAATCAGGGTCATACAGGAGGGATGCAGAGGGAGCCTCCTAAACCTCTACTGGGGCAAGTCGAGAGGTTGGAAACCTCCGGAAGAACAAATCCAAGGAACCCAAAGGCACCAGGAAAAGAATCTTGTGGGGAAGCTGCACCCATAACAAACTCATACAGGGAAAGGGGGATATGACACCACTTAACTTTCAACAAAAGACCCTCTGAGTCCACAGAAAATCAAACGGGACACAAGGGTCCATGTCAGACTGCCCTCCAAGCCCCGGGAACCACAGTTGAGGGCTCCGAGGCAGAGCCAACATCCAGGATACCTGGATTGTACCTGGAGAAGATTTTGGGAGTTCTTCTACTCCCCGAGCCTGGCTTGAGGCCATACTTGACTTGCGATAACTTGGTCCAACAGGTTGTTGATTGGAGCAACCCACAGGCCCACATATCCACTACAGCCTGGTTGCTCTGGCACTTCTTCAGATAGAGAAGTGGATGGAAGTGGAGTCAGAGAGAAAGACCTCAAAGGTTAGGGGTGGCTGAAAAGATGACCCAGAAGCTTCAGTGGGATCATCAGGCTAAACTGCCTCAGCCCTCAAGTCAGAAGGGGTGAACCACAGAGTTGACCAATCTACATCCTGAGCAAAACCTTGCCCCAACCCTGAAACCATCATATGCTTTGGGACTGGAGGCAAAAGGAGGGATCAGGGAAAAGAGCATACCATGCCTGAAGGGAAAGGAAGGAGGTGCAGACAGAACCATGGTCAACCCAGCTCACCGTAGGCCAAAAGGTCAACAGTGGCATGCCTTCGTTAGGTCGCGTAAGCCCCAATGTGCCCTGACAGACAAAACATGCTTCCAACCCCAGGGAAGACAAAGCCAAAAGTAAACAGATTTACCCAGAGTGAGGACCACTACAAGCGAGGAAGTCCTCTGAGGGAGCAAACCCTGAACACTCCAGGAAAGAGAACCCTGGCAGCACAAGTGCAGCACTAAGGAGCACACTGGGAAGAAAATCCTGTACACATGCAGCCCCAAGTGCCCTATACTCCTGGGTCACTTAGCACAAGCGTATGTTAGAACAGCCACAAAGGCCAAAACACCACTTAGCTGAGCCAGAGCAACAGAGTGGACACCCAGAACACTAGCAACCATCAGCAAGAACTGGGGGTAGAGCAGCTGGCAGCCCCAGTTTGCCTCCCTTCTTTCTCCAAATGAGGATGGTTGGGGGAAGGGGGGGGGGGGGAAGGTGGAGGCGAACGCATTTGCACTCGTTTCATGAATTTTTTATCATTTGTTTACATTGCTGGGGGAACTCTCTCTAGCAATTTTGTGGTATCGATCTTTCTGCTTACCAGCAGTGGTCCATTTTGTTTAGCTGACTTTTTTGGGTGCTTCTCTGGTGGTGGTGGATGTGATTTAAATTCACAAGACAATTTTATCATAGTGCTACTGCTCCCTGTATTTCTTTATAAGGGGCTAAGTTCTGGCTCTTTGTTCCCTGTAGGTTGAAAAGAACTCAGCAACTGGTGGCACCTAGTAGTTTGGCACTATCTATTTTAGCATTGTAGCTTCAGGGAGCCATAACGAGTTCCCCCAAAAAAGAACCACATTATTATAACAGAGACAAAGCAGAAGAATCAAGAATTCCGGGTTCAAATCCTGGGTGGGACAGATATGGTCGAGCGTGTTTCCTATCACCTAATGAACCTGTTCCCCCTAGCAATAAATAGGTATTCAGGAATTAGTCAGCTTCTTGTGGGGTTGCATCCTGATAAGGGAGGGGGAAGTTATCAGTAATTTGATCCTGTGGGGGGAAGAGGGGTACCTTGATATAAGCAAAACATATTAAAACTGCTTGCCTGTCCCCAACAATGAATTATTATTAATTATTAAATATTGTAGATAAGACCTCCCCAGAAGGACATCTGATAAGAGGGTAAACAGTCAGGAGTGAAGCCAAGAGGCAATTTGAAAATGACAAAGCAGCAGGAGCTAAGGACTAATTAAAGCTGCTTGTATAGCCATATGGAGAGAAAAAAATGCTTAACAAATAGTAACTATGGGGGAAAGTGAGATCTAGCTCTTAATGCCCCGCCTCCTAGCCATTTATCCATGACATGCTAATTACCCCTCTCAATATTAATGTTTTCATTACATTTCTTTTTCACATCTAGCTGTGGATGGAATTGGTTTCAACATCCTCTTTCCTTCAATGTATTCCACTTTCCTACCACCCGTACTGGGAACAAAAACACCCTTACATATCTGCAACTCAATTGCACATCCAGCTTCCACCAACGTCCCCATGTCTTACCTCTTCTTAATTTAAATAAGCTTCCTTTATCCATTTCATCTATTCTCTTTTAAGATTTTGTATGTAGCTATGATATCCCCTCTCGTTTCTTCTCTCCTCCAAGCTTGAAAGGAGTTGTTCTCTCAACCTGCCCATATAGCTGAGGCCTCTCAATTCTGGTACTAATGTAGTTGCAAATCTCTGAACTTTCTTAATTTTCTGCTTATGCTTCACAAAGTGTGATCTCATATAGGAAGTGTGTATGGACGTGAAAGCCTACTTGCTTAGCTTTTTAAATGATGTTCTATGTTTGCCAACTTCCCATATGTTGTTGTTGTTATCTTGTTAACATGAGCAACTGGTGTTAGTGTTGGGATTATGTCTACTCCCAAGTCATTTTTTCTTATTGTTTCTTGTAAATACCTTCCCCCTTGTAGTACAGAGACAGGTCTCCTGTCTTCCTTACCCATTTTCATTACTTTACACTTATTTGGGTTGAATTCCAGTAGCCATTTATCTGTTCATTCCTGAAGTTTGTTAAGGTCTCCTTGCAGTACCCTATAGTCCTCTTCAGTTCTTACTCTCCTCATTAACTTTGTATCATCTGAAAACATCAACATATGGGCTCCCTCCCTCTGTGAAAGCACTGACATTAATTACAAATAGCAATGGTCCTAGGACAGAGCCTTGTGGAACAACACTTACCACTCCTCTCCAGCCTGTTATATCATCTCTGACTATGACCTTTTGTTTCTTGTCTGTCAAATACTCGCATACCCAGTCTAGTGTCTTTCCTGTTATCCCTGCTTGTCTTTCCATCTTTTGTATTAGTCTTTTGTGAGGAACTGCATCAAAAGCTTTTTGGACAGTCTAGGAAGATGCAATCTACCCATCATTTCTTCTCTTGCCTTATTATGGTAAGTCTGTCATAGAATTCAATCAAGTTTGCTAAGCATGATGTTCCCCTCTCTGAAGCCGTGTGTGTCTCCGTTATAAAATTTACTCTCTCCAAATGTTCTATAGTCTTTTTTCTGATGACTTTTTCTAGAATCTTACTTGGAATACATGTTAGTGACATTGGTTTCCAGTTTACAGCTCCATATATGTCCCTTTTCTTGAATATTGTAACTACAGGACATTTGCCTTTTTCCAGATTTCTGGTAGCTCTCCTGTCTAGCGTAACGCTGAACAGTATAGTTAATATTAACACAACATCCTGCAGTTTCCTTCAGTACTATCTGGTCTGGTCCTACTGCTTTTGTTAATCAAATTCCTCCAGGTATTTTTTTAACCGTAAAAGGCGGAGGAGACGAGGGAAAATTCTCACAAATAATGACACAAAGGTATGTGAGGAATTCGACATGAGCCCTCAAGGAGTCTTCACATAAGAACCAATGTAAACACAGGAGATTGAAAAATCTCAAAAAAGTCAAAGTAGTCCCAATATTCAATAAAGGAGACACAAAGAGGTACTAAATTACAGGTGTGTACCACTGGCATGCACTACTTGAAAAGTGCTGAAGTACTGTAATTAGGATGAGAACAGTGAAGCATCTGGATAACATTAGCAGCATATGGGAAGCTGACAAACATAAAATTGGAAATGTCCAGGGGTTAGTAAGAAGGCTGGTGTCTGAAATAAAAGTGCAGAGATATAAAGACTGGTTAAAGGAATGGACTAAACAAAGTGGAAAAGAACATTTTTTTACAATTAAGAGATAATAGAACAACAGGATATGGGTGTAAGCTACAAATACAAATTGTTTAAGAGTTGTAAGGAAATACTCGTATGCTATTCAGGTTGGTCAACAAGTGGGAGTGGACTGAAAGAGGAAGTTGTGGAAATTACTGCCATCCATTAAAACTTTATTAAATGCTTAAAAGGTGTTAAAATTCTTATGGGTGATAAAATAGAAAAAATCAAGCATTAAATGTAATGAGACAATGTGTCACCTTTTCTGGTAGGCCTTCAGTAGCTTCTTAAGCTTAAGTGTTAGTGCACCACAATCAAGTAAGTAATTATCAAAAGAAGGCACCAAACCGGGAAGGCTATGTAGCACCATCATATGTGCAGAATAATCGGAGGGCACTAGATATCACCAAGGATGCCAATACGAGAACAGAAATGCATAAGCACTACAATCAAGCCTGGGAAATTGCACCAGGCCTCCAAAGACCCGTACTGACCTACCAAGAGCAAGGAATATAATCTAGCTCTTTGAAAAGCAAGAGGAGCCTGTGGATAACAGATCTATCTGAAACTGAGAAAAAATTACCAGATAAACAAAACAAGCACCTTCTGCCAAATGAATCATGAATTAATAACCAAAAGGACTACTCCAGAAGCCAACTGTCTCATTCTTAGCCTGAAAAGAATATGGCTGCAAAGAAATTCCCCACTAAAGACAAAAGAACAAAACCCATGTTTTAGGAGATACCTGCTTGATGGGGTTCTGGGAGTTCTACTCCCCAAGCCCGGCCCGAGGGCAGGTTGACTTGTGAGAGTTTGGTCTACCAGGCTGTTGCTTGGAGCGGCCCGCAGGCCCACATATCTACCACAGCCCGGTTGGTCCGGCACTCCTTGGAGAAAACTATCTAGTTTTCTCTTGAAGATCTTCCCCTTCTCCAACTCGCCCCCCATATGAGTGTTAACACCTTCTGTAGGATGTTATCATACGCATTAAATTGTGTCAAAACCCAATTTATTTTCTTGTAAATATTTAAATGAAAGAATGGAAGAAAGAGTGAAACCAATACAAATATTATGCACTGTTATTATTAATTTGTCACATATCTAAGCAACTCCCACGCTATCAATGGCCCTTCTACACATAACCAACTCTCCCAGACCCTTCTCCAGCTAGAGTTAATGTGAGCCTGTGGACCTGAGCCAGTCCTGCCCATCACGGTAGTTCACCGAGGACCTGTAAGACCTGCCACTCCCTACGTGCCAATGCCCATATCCTGACACCCATACATGTTAATGCCCCATATGCCAATACCCACACCCTCATATGACGCTCCCAACAATCAGCTGACACTTCAGACACACTCACATAACACATTAGACATCCTCATCTGACACCCCAATACTGTATACACAATTGACACCCGACACCCACATCTGACACTCTTGACATCTTCACCGTGGTGTCCCATCTTACTAGTTCTGTCATATAACACTTTGGAACTACTGACAGTTTGGATCTCCACCATCTTCTTACTTAGCTTGGTCCAACAGTCTACCACTCTATTTGCAAAAGAAAACTTTCTAATATTTTATTGGCACCTTTGTTTCCTCAGCTTGAATCTTGTGTCTTCTTGTTCGTGAAGTTGCTGGTTTCCGGAATTTATCTGTCAACTTGTTCGATATCCGTTATTATTTTATAAATGGTGATCATATCACCTCTTTTTCTTCTATTTTCTAACTTTGGCACATTTAATACTTCTAGCCTCTCCTCGTAACTCTTGTTTTTCAGTTCCGGAAGCCATTTTG